GGGTGAGGTACAGCAAAGGGTTTAGTCACTGGGAGATGAAATGAATTCAAATTCAGCCTCTTCCTCAGAACAGCACTACAAAGGCTATTTACAGTCAGCTCGCACTCTAGCAATCTTCAGCTCCAAAACAGCAATAAGAGAATGGACCTCACAGGAAGGAAGTGAGCAGGTAGGGGGGAACAGATCTTTCAGGAGAAGGACTCTACCCAACACTAGTGCCTATGCTTACAGGACTTAAACTCACAGACATCTCATCATCCTGCTGAGCTCATCCTCAGCTGAGCTCTGTCTATGTACCATCCTCCTCCTTAAAGGGATCCACACGTGGGCAGCCAGCAGCACCCTTGCTGCTCTCCTTCTGTGCTCTGAGCAGCCAGCGCTGCTTTCTAATGGAGCCTCACATCCCCATACCTCCTGCCCCTCATCCTGGGCGCTGGGGAGATGTGCCAATTTCTCAGCCCTAAAGCCAGTCACAGTATGCTTTTTATAAGAACATGCTGTCTTGTTATGACTTCCAACAGGGGCTTTACTAGGCAAACAGCCAGCTGAACATGGGCAATACCTGGGTCTTGACTATCCATCGCTGGGCTATAAAGCCTAAAGTTCATATTAATCTTGCCAGGGTGATGATACTGAGATACCACGAGCAAACAAACAAGTGAGCTTTATAGCTTCAACAATGATGAGCTGAGTTCTGACATTTTACACTCTATTTGCTTTGGCAGGACTGCAAGATGGATAATAGAGGGCAGAGCTTGGCTTTGAACACACAATAGCTACTGTGATGGTCAAATATTTTGTCCCATCTACATATTTCCACACATACTACATGAAATAGTGCACAGAAATCTCCCTGTCTTAGAAAAGAGCTGTCAAGGCTGAAGTTAGCCCCCCACATCTCATTTATCTGCTGTGGAATACAGAAAATGGAAAATGAACAAACCAGTAAGGAGGGAAAACAAAAAAGAGCATCTCTGGGTCTAGGTTATTGAACACAATCTTGGAATATTAGGTTGTTTCACAGGGACAGGTCACTCAAAGCTAAGCATTTCATACCTGTGACTGATACTGTGTTCTTCGGTTTCTTGCTGCTGGTTTGTGCCCCAAGGGTTGCTTTACAGATGTGCTGAGCTCTCAGGCAAAGCACAGATCAAACGACAGTGTTTGTTCACAGAGACAGCACTAGAGAATACTTAGCGGGTGTGGGGGAGTGAAAGGAAAGAAACCAAAAAATAAACAATAACAGATCCTACTCATCTTAAATTGGACACTCAATATTAATAATTCTGGTTTATCTTCTCACACTTTCTCAGTTTGCAAAATGAAGTTACACCCTGGCACAAACAAACACACAAGAGCAGCAGTAAGAAACCATTTGTAACTAATTAGTGAATTATTCAGACACCGCAGTATGGAGTGTTAACTAAAAAAAGAAAAAAACCCCACCTATCAGGATCTTAGTTCTTTCTTAAGCACAATTTGAACAGCACAACATAAGAATGTGTTGAGGCACACAATAATACAAAAAAAAAAAAAAAAAAAAGAGTACTGCCTCCACCTACCGAAAAAAGAAAGCACAGGGGAAAAATAGGGAGTGCTCTCATAATAAAGGACTTCATCAGAACCCACGTGGAGTTGGGCTGACTTCAGGCTATATTAGGAAAAAGTAGCGTTTGAATTTGACTTCACAACCTTGAGAATGTCCTTTCTAGTATAATTTTGGTAGCTGATCATGTGAACTGAGTCGTGCGTGTTTGTACACAAACATCATGTTAAGACATTTGAGACATGAGAAAAATTTTATCACTTTATTATTATTTAGAAATTGTACTCAGAAGATTCTTTCAAGATCTATATTCATATTAAAAGTCAACAAATCATTACTAGACTCACATATTCAACTTGCTCGTGTATTCATTCTTGTTTCGATTTAGAATAACAAGAAACGTTAGGAAAATGCTGGATAAGCAATATGCTTCATGATTTAGAACTTCCCTTCAGTTCTGTAAAAAAGATTAATTTTTAGTTGCACTATACAAAGACAATGCTGGAAGAGGGATTTGCAGCAAACCTACATTTTTGTAATTTCTCATTTAAGCATAGGGAGTTTTCAGCTAATCCTGAAAACTTCAGCTCTCAAAGAAACAAATAAATACTTAATATTAATAATTATTAAACAAAACGTTTCATTTTAACCCCTCCAAAACACACATATACACAAATTCATTCATTCTTCGTCGGGGCCAGATTCCAATACCTTTGCTGAATCACACCAAAAGCCACCTATCTAAAGCTCTTGTCGATCAAGTTCCTTTCTTGTACGACAGTACAAGAAGATTATTCCTGAATCTGATCATTTCTTCTTTAAATTTTATTAATGTAGGGTCAAGCCTTACCATCGATGTTTAATGAAATCCCATTGATTTAAATGTTTAGCTGTTAATAAAGACTAGTGTTTTTCATAGGTGCCGAAGTCAGTTGTTGGGGGGGCTGGAGATGTTCCGTGTCCCTGCAGAATCACTCTAGAAGTTATCGTCTGTATTGAGGTGCAGATCGGGGCGCCTCTGTTGCTGGCAACATACAAATACAAAACTTCACCGGTGATATCACCTCAACAGCAATGGGAAAAGAGAAGTGGCTCAAACCTGGGATTTTCAGCACTCTCCACGGTATGCAGTGGCTGTGCATATTCCATATACAGAAGGAAAAGTGCACCTGATACTTTAGGTGTCCCAAAAGTAGGTTTATCTTCAGCCTTTACTCTCCACCAAATACTCATCTGAAAAGCCTTTTGTTTTCCCTGTAAAAGGTAATTTCCCTATAAAAAGCTTCAAACTGAGGAGAGTTTAGAGCAGTTTTGGGGTTGTTTCTCACCTCCGTAAATCTGACCATAGGGGTCCGTTGAAAGAAAATTGTTAAGAATTTCCAACTGGACTGTGTAATCACAGCGCCTGGTATCAAGAGGAGGGGGAGTGACATGAAATCACTGACTTGTGACATACATTCCTCAGCAACAGCAGCCGCTGCCTAATGACAGCTAATAAAGGGAATCTTCCCTTGACAGAGCTGCATGCCTGCAATGGGACTGGAATGTGCCCCAGATAAATCCACCGATAACCTAGGAAGCAGAGATCACACTCAAAGAGTATAAAAGACAAGCCTCAGAAGAGAGAGGATAGGACAAGGAAGAGAGAGACCTGAAGAGACAACTCAGAAGGAACAGCTTGAACTTCTCTATTTCCAACGAACCCAGCACCATGGAAACTAAAGGCTCATTTTCCTGTGGCTTCCTCTTGCTGCTGCTCATCCAACTCCAGACCAGCAGAGCCAACCCTATCTACAGCCTCAGCCCTGCCAAAGAACTGGCCAGCATGGAGGTGAGGACTTTTTCTTTTTGCAAGGTTAAACTCTTGGGGTGCTTAGCAGAACATGAGGTGGTGCTTTTGCCTTCTTTTATTTTTCATGGTTGGATAGCCACCTCAGCGATCACATGCTTAGGGACAAAGTCTCAGATCTTCACGGGGGTTTGAAAAAGCTCTACAGAGCAATATCCTCCAGTGCTGGGTTTACCTGAGCTCCTGGGTAGCAATAGGAAACACAATTTTAATGTTGTGGGATGTCTGCTTTGGGTTTTCAGTTCTTTTCCTCTTAACATTAAACGTTCCTGGGAGCAAAGTTCCAGAGAGGGAAAAACTCATTACAGTAGCTCTATAAGGACAAATAGAAAGCTTTCGGGTGGGCTCTTGTTTATCCCACTAAACGGCAGGAACAGTGAAGCCGGACAGCCATACGGCTCTAGCTTTGTGGATTTAAGAGAATTGGCTGCATGTGGATGGGAGATGAGGAGGTAAAGCAGAGCACCCAACATCAAACTTTTAGAAGAATTGCTAGATTAATAGTATGGTCATTTAGTGTCACTTATCCAGAAAAGCTTCTAGAGCTATAAAATTAGCACATGTGTATT